GTATGAGCCCCTAATAAAACGATTTTTTTTAAAGCCAAAAAAAAGAAGGTTATGGTGACTGCTTGTGGGGCAAGAGAGAAACAAAGGGGGTGATCTAAATATGTATTTCTTGATGGACACAGGGTAATCACAGGGGCTTATTATGAAGAAATTTTAAGAAAGTTGAAGCATACATTAGTGAGAAAAGGATTAGGAAAGTTTGCTGAGGAATTCTTTTCTAACATGACATTACATCTCCTCATTTCTCAAGGGTAACAAGTCCTATTCTACAAGAATCTCATTTAAAAATCCTATCCCATCCATCCTACAGCCCTGATCTAGGCCCTTCTGACTTCTATTTGTCCCCCAAACACTAAGAACATTTTAAAAGGAACACAATGTGAGTCCCCTCAGGATGCCTAAACTACGTTTTTGACGTGGTGTAGAATTCTTCCAGTAAGGGTTAGTGAGATTGTAACACTGCCTTCAGAAATACACAGACCTCAAAAGAGGACAAGAAACAGTGGCTTCACATTTTAATGTTGCTGGTTTTAAAAAAAAAATAAAGGTTCATGATTTTTTGCCAATAGTTTGCAGCGTGCCTTCATATAAAAGAAAGTATTGTCAATAGTTATCATTGGATCCCGACTCATTGGATAAACAGATTTGATACATTGAACACTAATGACAAAAGACCTGGCAAGTTGTGAGTTGACATCAAGAACATAATCCAATAAGTAAGCAAAATGTCATTAAAAAGACAGGAACAAAAAAAAAGATTTCAGAAGAGACTCAGAAACTTACTCTTGATTATAGAGTAGCTAAAGGGAATAGAAGAAATGACAACAAAATTTCAAAGGGCAGCTCAAAAAAACCAAAAATAGAGCATTAAAATGAAATGTGTAAAAGAACTGGAGTTAGAAGGCCTAAATAGAAAAACATGCTCAACATTTAAAAACTGAAAGAACTGAAGAAGCCATTCAAGCCTTGAAGTGAAATATAGAAGGATTCCCTGGGCAAAACATTGAACAATGCAGGAAGCATCAAAGGAAGATGCAAGGAATACAGAGCATCACTGTACCAGAAAGAATTAGTCAACGTTCTACCATTTCCGGAGGTAGTATATCATGATGAATCAATAGTATTGAAGGAAGAAGTCCAAGCTACACTAAAGGCATTAGCAAAATGCAAGGCTCCAGGAATTGACAGAATACCAATTGAAATGTTTCAACAGGCTGATGAAACACTGAAAGCACACACTCACCTCGGTCAAGAGACCAAGAAGACAGATATCTGAGCAACCAACTGGGAGAGATCCATATGTAACTCATTCCAAAGAATGGTGACCCTACAGAAGGCACAAATTACAGAACAATATTAATATCACATGCAAGTAAAATTTTGGTGAAAATAATTCAACAATGATTGTTGGAGTACATCGACAGGAGCTGCCAGACATTCAAGCTGGATTCACAAGAGAATGTGGCAAGAGGCACGTGATTGCTGCTGTCAGGTGGATCTTGGCTGAAAGCAAAGAATACCTGAAAGATATTTATATGTGTGTTATTGACTATGCAAAGGCATTTGACTGCCTGGATCATAACAAACTATGAATAGCCTTAAGAATAGAAAATCCAGAACACTTAATTGTGCTCGTGTGGACCAAAAGGCAGCTGCTCCAACAGAACAAGGGAATACTGCTTGGTTTTAAAACAGGAAAAGGTGTGTCAGGGTTGTATCTTCTCACCACTTATTCAATCTGTGTGATGAACAGATAATCTGAGAAATCGGACTGCATGAAGAAGAACATGGCCTCAGGATTATAGAAAGGCTTATAACAACCTGCAATATGCAGGGGACACAACCTTGCTTGCTGAGAATGAGGAGGACCTGAAGCACTTGTTGATGAACAAGGATTGTGGCCTTCAGTATGGACTACAACTCAATGTCAAGAAAACCCAAATCCTCACCACTGGACCAACAGGTAACATCTGATAAATAGAGAAGATTGTCAAGGATTTCGTCTTGCTTGGATCCACAACCAATGCTCATGGAAGCAGCAGTCAGGAGATCAACAGGCACATTGCATTGGGCAAATCTGCTGCACAAGACCTTTTTAAAGTGTTGAAATGCAAGGATGTTACTTTGAGGAGTAAGGTGCTCCTGATCCAAGGCAGGATATTTTCCATCGCCTCCTATGCATGTGAAAGTTGCACACAGAGTGTGTTCTGCGTGGGGAGGTGTGATGGAGCTGTGTGCACACGCTGTGTGTGCGTACTGTGCTTAAGTACTGTCTGAGGAGTTGTGTGACTTTTTTCCCCCGCGTGAGCCCTGTGTGTCTACGTGCCGGGTATGAACAGCACTTTGTGAGATCGCGCGGCGTGCGCGCGCACTGCGTGAGAACCTGAGAGCGCATTCTCTGTGCGCACGGTGTGCGCGCGCTGCGCGAAGGCGCGTGCGCGGACGGGTGTGAAGGCGCGCTCCAGCTGGTGCGACGCGGCGGGACGGGAGTGCGCCTGTGCGGCCAGCGCATCCTGAAGGAGCGTGGCGGTGGCGGCTGCGGAGCGCGCCGAGGGGGCTGCGGGGCGCGTGCGGATCCCCTGGAAGATGGCCGACCTGGGAGCGTCGCGGAACTCTCCACCTCACAACCGGCCTCCAGGTAGGGCTCTGAGGGGCGGGGGGCTCGGCGCGGGGAGGGGTGCTGCAGGACGCTGCGGGGCGAGGGGGCGTGGCGGCGGCCGGATAGGGGCTGTGGGAAGCTAGGGTGGGGGGGGGGCTCTGAAGGAATGGTCAGTCGTAGGCCTGCGGCTGAGGGACGCGACACTAGGTCCCAAGCCCTCGCGCTGCCAGCTGCGTGCCCCCTCTCCCCCGGGGTGGCTTGGGTGAGGGGCTTGATGAGTGACCAGAGAATCTGCGGCGGGCCTACTCCCGAGGGGGCCCCTGGGGTCGACCCAGGTCCTGTGGAACAGCTTGGGCGCGGGGCGGGGGGGAGGGCGCGGGGCGGCGCTGGGATGGTCGAGGGTTTCAGGAGGGTGGCGAGCCGGTGGCTCGACCTCTGAACGTCCTGGGAACCGCGTGTGGGCGGCCCAGGTGACTAGCATCGTCGGCGTCACGCTTCCTGGCGGCCCCCGGGGGGATGGGGTGGGGGACACCCCCCACCCCTCAGAACCTGCCTGTCACCCCTGTCTGAAGCGGGGTGGGGGAGCGCTCGCGAGCCACCGGGCCCTGCCCCGCCTGGGTGGGCGCGTGCCCGGGCCCGCTGGCCCCATTGCAGGGCTGCGGGCGCGGAGACCTTAGGTGGCCTGTTAAACGAGGTGCACCTTAGGGAGACGTGCGGCCAAGCAGGCAGGGGACGAGGCTGACCGGGTCTCCTGCCTGTGAGGTTGCAGCTGTTTGAACTCGGAAAGTGGGGGGCATTTTTGAGGGCACCCGGCTACATTTTGGAGGTATTGATGTAATGTTAAGTGGAGGCAGGGCCAGCGTAACCTGATTGCATGCTCTGTTCACTGGTCACACCTTTATTTTTATGTATTTTTAATGCGAGCTATGAATTTTTGGGGTTTTTGTTTTTTTTATTTTTCCCATTTCTACCTTCTACTTAGTAATCTACCTTCCTACCCCCAGTAACCAGCCAAGAATCTTCTGGGTGGGCAAACTTCTATGACATTTTTATAATAGTGGTCTGGGACAATAGGAGGAGGCTTCAAAAAGTTGGGAAAATCACGTCTTCTTTTCATTCTATTTTTCCGCAGAATTTTTGAAGCTGAATAAAATCAGATAATCACAGCAAATGCCCTCCAGGGAGCCCTGGTAGCATAATGGATTATAGGTTGGGCTGCTAACCCATCACACCACTCTGGGAGAAAGATGAGGCTTTCTGCTCTCTTAAAGATGTACAGCCTCGGGAACTCACAGATGCAGTTCTACCCTGTTCTATAGGGTCACTGTGAGCCAGAATCCACTAGATGGCAGTGAGTTCTTTTGTTTGTAATGCATAGAGGTATTTTGCAGATTCATGGGCTATTCTTTAAGTTTGTATTGTATTCCAGTATGTGTGTTTGTGAGCTCTATTTAAAATAGCATTTATTGCGTATAACCTGTATATCCAAAAAGCACACTGATCATAATTATTCCATTGGAGGAATTACCACAAAGTGAAGGCAGGAGTACTTTATTTTATTTTTATAAATCGTTTTATTGGGGGCTCCTACAACTCTTATCACAATCCATACATCCATCCATTGTGTCAATCAAATTTGTACATTTGTTGCCATCAGCATTCTCAAAACATTTGCTTTCTACTTGAGCCCTTGGTATCAGCTCTTCATTTTCCCCTCCCCCCCATGAACTGTTGATAATTTATAAATTATTATGTCATGTTTTACAGTACTGTCCAACATCTCCCTTCATCCACTTTTCTTTTGTCCATCCCCCAGGGAGGGGGTTATAGGTAGATCCTTGTAATTAGTTCCCCCTTTCTAACCCACCTTCCCTCCATCCTCCCGGTATTGCCACTCACCACTGGTCTTGAGGGGTTCATCTGTGCTAGATTCCCTGTGTTTCCAGTTCCTATCTGTACCAGCATACATCCTGTGGTCTAGCCAGATATGTAAGGTAGAATTGGGATCATGATAGTGGTGAGTAAGAAGCATTAAAGAACTAGAGAAAGTTGTATGCTTCATCGTTGCTACACTGCACCCTGACTGGATCATCTCCTCCCCACAACCCTTCTGTAAAGGGATGTCCAGTTTCCTACAGATGGGCTTTGGGTCCCCACTCCACACTGCCCCTCACTCACGATATGATTTTTTGTTCTTTGATGCATGATACCTCATCTCTTCCACCCCTTGTGATCACACAGGCTGGTGTGCTTCTTCCATGTGGGCTTTGTTGTTTCTCAGCTAGATGGCGCTTATTTACCTTCAAGTCTTTAAGACCGCAGACTTTAATATCTTTTGATAGCCGGGCTCCATCAACTTTCTTCAGCACATTTGCTTATGCACCCATTTGTCTTCAGCGAACCGTGTCAGGAAGGTTAGCATTATGGAATGCCAGTTTAATAGAACAAAGTGTTCTTGCATTGAGGGAATACTTGAGTGGAGGCCCAAAGTCATCTGCTACCTTAATACTAAACCTTTCAATATATGCACATAGATCTATTTCTTCATCATCATATATAAATATATTTACATATGTACATGCCTGTATTTAGACCTCTGTAAATGGCCTTTGCCTCCTAGTTCTTTCCTCTATTTCCTTTTACTTTCCTCTTGTCCCACTATCATATTCAGTCTTCATTTGGGTTTCATTAATTCCTCTTGACTACATTACCTTTGATCAAGCCTTACAGGCCTCTTACATCCTCCTCGCGACTGATTTTGGATCACTTGTTGTTCCCTTGTCCCTTGGTTTGTTAACACCACTTCCTTTCCCCCTCCTCCCCATCTCCCATGTGACC